AGGGTGTTTTATCTATGTACAGACAAGGTTACAGAGTGCTCCTGTTTTCATCTGGTTCCATCCTGATCAGCATGGTCTTATCTGAGGTTGATGATCTATGGAACGATATGTGTAAAAGAACACAAAACCCTAGACAAGTTGTGAACAATGAGAAGAATGTTGCTGAGAGCCCTAGGGTGCCCTCTTCTGATCGTGCTCTTTCTCTGTGAGACGGAAGCATCTGAAGAACATGAAGGGGAGAATGTCAGAGATCTGAGAGAATGGACATTAGAATACTGGACAGGGACATGCCCAGCAACAGGAAAGGGTTCTTTCTGTCTTTTTTATTTTATGTGCATTGGTGTTTTACCATCATGTATGTGTGTATGAGGGTGTCAGCTCTTGGAGTTACAGACAATTGTGAGCCACCATTTGGTTGCTGGGAATTGAACTCAGGACCTCTGGAAGAGTAGTGAGTCCTCTTAACCTCTAAACCATCCTCTCCAGCCCCCAGGAAGGGTTTTCTTGAAGTTGGTGATTTTGACTGACTGACAATGGCTAGTTCTATAGCCATGCTTTGCTGCATCGGCCAGAGATTCAGCCCAGCTTAAAGAGGGCCCATCAGACTATGATGGAGAGGTTTGAATCTCGCCAGCATCTCAGAGACTTGACACCACTATGCTTCCACATTTGCAATTGGGCAATTGTTTGTAAATAGGGCAACTGTCATTATGGATGTCTCCTAAGTGCTGTGAAGTAAACTTGCCAGAGAGCCAGAACAGCGCCTGGGTGAGGTAAATAGACTCAGTGGGTGTTACCTATTACAGCATGAACCTCCCCATCATTGTGTCAGCATGATTTTCTAAGTGTTGGCATGGAGCTTGGTTCTTCTTTTCCATTTCAATAAGCTGAATAAGGAGATACAGAGAGTAGAAAACAAACCGCAAGGAAATAAAGGGCAACTATGAGGAGCACGAGTAGTGTTCTATGTGTGAACTTAAAGCTAACAAGTTCCCAAGGGGTCAAGTGATTTTGGAAGAGAGCCAGGGTAAGGAAGGGCTCACAGCAATCTGGAGCTTTAAAAGTATCCTACACACCCTTTAGAAACAAAGTCAGCAACCAGCTTTACACATAAGAAAAATTTTACTAAGAAAATATAAGAACACATCTCATTACAAGGAATATATCACAAAAAGGGAAAACTATTTCATGTAATTAACATGTCTTTATAGCAGTCTCGGGACGACTCTCCATAAGAAGTCAACACAGCATGATATACTTTTTTTTTCCATGCTATTCCCCTTAGGGAATCACCTCTGCAAAACCTGTCATTCCCCACATTCTGCCCTACACTCGGTGAAAATGCTAAGTGATGACAAACAACCTGTGGTTTGTTCGAGTCAGCAATTTATGCTGGCCCTATCACTGACAGGAACACAATAGCATGAACTGTAAAAATAGTTTTACTTTCTGGCAATTTTAAAGCTTACCAGGCAAAGTACAATAAAAACACTGGGTAGGAATTTTGTCAAAGGTTCAGCCAAGATAGCTTTCCGGAATCTCCTTATCCCACAGATATTCTTCCTTCATGGAAGCTGTGTTCGCACATAACAGGCTTCACTCAGAGAATACCTTCCAGGGGGCATGCTGACAGGACTAGATTCACAAAGTGAATGGCTGCTGCTGCTGACACTGATTTGCAGAACAGTGACAGCAGCTGGTGGTTCAATGAATATTACTAAATCAAGAGTAAACTAAGTATTGAGAATCTTTGGTGTAATCTATCACATTTAAAACAAACAACTTAAGCCAGGCAGTGGTGGCGCACACCTTTAATCCCAGCACTTGGGAGGCAGAGACAGGCAGATTTCTGAGTTCGAGGCTAGCCTGGTCTACAGAGTTCCAGGACAGCCAGGACTACACAGAGAAACCCTGTCTCAAAAAACCAAACCAAACCAAACCAAACCAAAACAAAACAAAAAACAAACAAACAAAAAAAACCCAAAAACCTTAATATGTACATCTAATTAACAAATAAGAGGTTTGTAGTGTATTTGGGTGGTTAAGTAGAAACAAAGGGGGAAATCACACGAATTGGTAAAATGCATTCAAAAGAACTCAAAACTAATCTTGGTACAAACAGGTGAAGATTTTCCACTTGGATAGAACTGCTGGGAGACTGACAGGTCTGAGCTAAGCCCTGCTCTGCAGCTCACCATGAGTTCTTCAAGTTCCCTAAGACGCTGTCCTTACTTGTAAAACAGGGTCAGAGATGCAAGACTCCAGTGTAAACTCGAGATGGTTTTGAACACCTGACACAGAGCAGGCACAGCCACACAAGTTGGTCTGTCATGACTTGCCAACTGTATACATCAGGTGACACTCAATGACCACATAAGAATCAGTGATTTTCTAGAAATACTCAGGAAAGGAAAAGAAAGTTTCTAGGATGTATACAGACTATTTCACTTTCATCACAGGTGATGCTAAGTTACAAGTGTCACAAGCTGGACTAGGTTACGTGGCCCTGCCTCAAAAAGACAAAAACCAAAATCAAAAGGCTGAGTCCAAGAACACAAGCAAACAAGGAAAAATCCCAAGAACTGGGGATACAGACCAACAGACACCTCCAAGTCTAAGACTTAAGGGTATGGAATGTCTCAAAGAGCAGATGGCACATATATCTTTATTTGGAAGAAAAAGATGAAAAGAGTTCAGTTATTGGTGAATAGCACCTAGCCAAAGATACGCTTAACTAATGTATGTGCTAGCTTGGGACTTCCACCAGACAGGTAAAATTAATGATGCAAGGAACACAACCAACTGTGAATGCCATCTTTCCTTCTCAGGGACACAACTTTAAGTAGTTGCTTTAAAATCCAAGTATTACTTCAAGTAAATCCTAATAAAGATTAGGAAGTTCCACAAGGCATGTCCCCTTTCAACTATCTGAATGTCTTGAAATTTGAAAAATAAAGACAGCACTCTTTCTTCAAGCATGTATTAAGACATCGACTTCAGATGAGGTGGTTTTCTAAAGCTAGATTATTTTGAGTATTTACATAGATTGTATCTAACTTCAGCTCTTCATTTGAAGGGCTTCTTTTTTTGAGGCAGGGTTTCCTGTAGCCCAGGCTAGCCTTGATCTTCATATGTAGTTGAAACTAGCCTTCAACTCCTGCTCCTCCTGCTTCTACCTGCCAAGTGTTGGGACTAGAGGCACACAGCACAGCTGGCTAGTGGGTTTCATTTTAACACTGTGTACAAGTGCAAATCACAGTGTCTGATGAGACCTGTCTCATGTGTGCAGTCAGCGACATGTCTGCACTAGAGTAATCTTGACTGGAAACAGGACGCCGCTGCTAGTCCATTGAGAATTTCTCTGGACATGGAACTCCAGTAGATCTGGAGCTCTGAGATCTGTATCAATGTCAAGTACGGTGAATGCTCTTCAGGCGGATTCTGTTTAGGTGACCTCGAGAACAGACAGTCTAGTGACACACCTGTACTTCCTCCAAGGCCAGGTTCCCTGCACTGTCTCCATTCCCTGTGGGAACAATGACTAACATTCCACTCTGCACTCCTTAAAACAGCAGTCTGAGCCCACCAGTAACTGTGTAAAAACTCTTGAGAAGCTAATAATTTAGAAAAAAAATCAAATCCTTTCTCAGAGAATAAAGAAAACTGCCCCACAACTAAACACTGGACAGCTACTCTTATAAAACAACACACACACACACACACACAGTAAACAAAAAACCTGGTCACTAGATTTTATGAGCTTAATAAAGTATTTCAGATTATGTTTTCAGAAAAATTGTGTCTAAAGTTTCCTTATTAGCTTAATACCCTATGTCAATTAAAGACAATTCAAATGAATGCCATTCCATGTCATTTCAGTTGACCCTCTTCATATCACACAAGCAGTTTCTGAGCACTACGTTTAAAAGTGTGAGCGACCACGCTCGGTTTTGCATCTGCACCAACAGCAAGGGTACGGCCAAGGAGAATGATCGTTAGACATGTGAGACCTCAGTGACCAACCAGTAAGACAAAAACAAAACAAAAAAAGCCATCACCCACAAAACAACCACCACCACCAACCCCCCTCCCAAACCCAAACAAAGCACACACCCAGACAAAAACCATGGGGCGTGTTTGTGTTTGGCCAACTACTCCTAGGCATGGGGACTGACATTCCCCCTACCCCATTTTTTTTTTCATTTTTGTTGTTGAGAAAGAGAGACAAAGAGAAAGAACATGAAGCTGAGTGAGTAGGGAGATCTGGGAGAATGAGGAATTTATGAAATCAAAATACATGTAAAATAATTCAATAAAAAATAAATAAATACCAGATAGTGAACTCCACCCTGAAACTGTACCAGCAGCATGGGCTAACTCTCTGCTGTGTCACATCATGGCATTAATGTGTGAGAACAATGTGTCAGTCAGAATCCTGGGAGTGCTGCTGAAATAGACCTGCCTGGGCTCTCCTCACTAGAGGTCACTTAGGGGTCTGAAGACAGGGATATGTGTTTAAGAGGTTCACAGTGACTCTGAGGCCACCTTCTGGTGGGGAAGCCACCCTTGGAAAATGGCTTAATAAAACCCTCAGAGGTTAGCATCTGTGCATCCGCTACGCCTTCATCAAGTTTCCCACTCTGCTTCACAGTAGAAAGAAATCAGGGGCCCTTTTCCTCCTGACTGCTGGAAACCCGTCTACAACTGTTCCTCTGCCCAGCAGAGTAAAGCACCATCACCACTCATCCAAATAACGACCTTCCTGTTTGGCAAAATTCCCCATGGAAGGTCCTAGTAACTCCCCCTCCCCCACATTCAATCTGATGACATCAGGGCCCCCCATTGCCCACGTTCTTAGATAATAAACACTTAAATTTACATTAAATAATATTTATAAGTAGGTTATATTTCATCTTGCCATCTTCTCCTTATAGTAAAAGTGCTTTGATTCAGCCTCTGTCCTGACAGTTAACAAACTGAGCAAAAAAACCAGCAACACATTTTTATACTTGTAATGTTCAATATTTAGATTTCATATACAGAATAAAACAAAAACAAGAAAAAATAAACATTTCTCATAATTTTTGTTCATTTATGGTATATATGTGTGTGTGTGTGGCAAGTGGGGGAGGGGCTGGAGAACAACTTCTGGAAATTGGTTTTCTGTCCACCATATGGGTCCTGGGATTAAACTAAAATGTCAGGGCTTGGGGACAAGGGCCTTAACCACTGAGCTATCTTACATTCACACTGTGAGTTCTTTTGTAGACAGTCTGGCTTTGAACTTGAGATCTTCTTGCCTCGGTGCTAGACTCATGCCTGTATATTCATCTTACACTCAAACTATGATTTACTTCATTATTTTACTAAATAGATTGCTATTTATGCTAAGTTAACCACCATGTTCACCCATACTTAAAACTGCAATGCCATCCCAAACCTGCCCCTTTTTGGGGTGGTCTTGTGGACTGAACCCAGAGTCTGTGCACACTAAGCAGCCAAATCCATCTTCTTAAGCAGGAAGATAGGGAAGGGTCCCCTTTGCTTACAGAGTATAAATACAGGCTGTGGTATGCACCTACAAACTGCTTTATACTGCCACCATTCCAGGGTGAGCATTGTGCAGTTTTGTCCCTGACCATGGTAGTTCATGGCTAGGATCTCAGCACATGGAAGCAAGCCAGGGACACATAGTGAGTTCCAGGCCAGCTTGCTCCAGTCTCAAAATAAAAACAAACTTTGTCCCTCAAAGCATTTAGGCAGGTGAAGGCCAGAGCCACTGCCATTTCTCCAAATACTCAGAGTTCTTTCAGAACATGACTCTCGAACACTGATGGCCTTATACAACTCTTACCCTGGGATTCAAAACAGCACTTCCTAGGCTGAGCTGGAAAGATGGCTCTTCTAGAGGCGCCGAGTTCAATTCCCAGCAACCACATGGTGGCTCACAACCATCTGTAATGGGATTTGATGCCCTCTTCTGCTGTGTTTGAAAACAGCTACAGTGTACTCATAAATAAAATAAATTAATATATTTTTTTAAAAAAATGGCATTTCCTGCCAGGTGTAGTTCAGGTGGAGCAGTGTACACCCTCAATCCCAGAACTCTGGAGGCAGAAGCAGGTAGATCTCTGTGAGTTTGGGGCCACTCTGGTCTACAGAGTGAGTTCCAGGACAGCCAGGGCTACACAGTGAGATCCTATCTTGAAAATACAAAAGAAGGCATTTCTTGGTCTAATTCTACGTTTATCTCCACTAAGCTTGGAATCTATTATCCATTCTCAGCAGAGAAAGACATCACTACTAACACTCAAAGGAATGTATACTAAGAAATCTCTAGCCACTGCTCAATAAAAAACATGACAGACAGGAAAAAAGGTCTAGACTGTAGTTAACTCCTTCAGATAAGATTTCCAAATCACATGACTTTAGTCATGCATGTTAGGCAGATGATACTCCCTCACCTGTGTGAAGTCAATGAAACTGTTTTCATAATCAACAAACCTAAGTTCCTGTTTGGTCAATAAGATAATGTAACTGAAGCAATTAAATGTAAGGAATTACTTTTATTAATAAAAGTGGTCTTTGTACACTGTTGCAAATGACTATTCAGTTTGTCTAAAGGCAGCAGTGGCTCCTCCCACTCTTCTAGAATGTTAGAGTTAGCACTGATTTAGTTGTAGGAAATTGGGCTTTTTTTTGTATTTCCCTAAACCTGTCTACTACTAAGGGATTTCCGAGCAGAACGTGAAATGAAGTATATAGAAAAGAACAGCTGTAAGTGTTGACGATTTTTCTTTGGAACTCGGTGAGCACTTGGCTTCTTCTCGACATTCTGTACTCATATGCACAGCTAGAGGACTGAGAGGAAGAAGCGAGAGATACATTCACGGAACAGTAACAGGTGCTGTGGAGCTCAAAGCAGAGCACAGAGGCGACCATCGGGATGGAAGCATTCCCAGTACTGGACTGTGGGCAGTACAGTATAGTCAACATGTCTGTCCCCAACGAAAGTGAGATTCACAGAAAAAATTGCCAAGCAAAGTGGTACGGAAGAATAAACCACAGACAACACGGTAACTCAGAGAATATTATCTTTTTGTCTAAAAATAGTGGTTCCCTGAAGCATGGAATGTCTTAATGGGAAAGCTTCTATTCTGTTATCTGAGGAGGCTTCAGTGAAGACTCTGGCCAGTCATACACATCCGGCAGCAGGGAGACATAATTACTCCGCCATATCCTTTCTTTCACATATTTGGCCTTGTCCTCGGGTTCTGGGTATCGGAAAGCCATTTTATTAGCATACAGGTACTCTGTAAGCTGGAAAACAAACACCATCACTGTTTAGGCTCTGAGTGTTTCTCACAGAAATAGAATAGTATTACAACACATAGATACACATATAGATGAAGTGTACTTTACTTTTTCCAAAGTGTAAAATATTATTTTGACTCATTTCAAATTATTTAAAACATGTCAAGTTTGAAGGATAAAATAAAAATTATCCACCATCTCATGAAAGCTTTGATGTGTTCCAGTCACTTTTCCTGACATAGAAAAGAATGATTAGCATATCTTTTTTTTTTTTTGGTTTTTTGAGACAGGGTTTCTCTTTATAGCCCGGGCTGTCCTGGAACTCACTCTGTAGACCAGGCTGGCCTCAAACTCAGAAATCCACCTGCCTCTGCCTCCCAAGTGCTGGGATTAAAGGCGTGCACCACCACTGCTCGGCAGCATTTCTTCACATTTAACAAGTACATCTAAGTTCTAGTATGTCAATCTACCTGGAGGATGTACCAGCCTCTATCCCCATAGCCCTGCTGACAGGGACCGGGCTGTTTAGTACTCCAACTCTAGTCAAAACCACCCTATAGAACAAAAATGCCATCTTAACTACACATTCGTCAGCCAGGTGGTGGTGGCACACGCCTTTAAGTCCAACATTCTGGAGGCAGAGGCAGATGGATCTCTATGAGTTCAAGGCCAGCCTGGCCTACAGATAGAGATCTAGGACAGCCAGGGCTACACAGAGAAACCCTGTCTCAAAAAACAAACAGAACAAAGCATGCAACAAACAAACAGAACAAAGGAACAGAGACATCCAGAAGTCAGCTGCACTTTGCCACACTGTTCTGAAGTAGGCGGGGCTGACTCAATCCTTCAATGGCTTCTACTGCCTTCAGAATGAATCTTTTGTGCATGCAAGTCTTCTTGCTGGAAACTTCCTGCTTTTGACTCTAGACAATTCCTCCTTCTTACAATCTATCCATACTGGTACCCGGGACAGTGCTTAGCTTCTAGGCATTCCAAGTGGAAACAACCAAGTGTGCATGCCAGTGCTAACCAAGGTCCTCAGAACACAGCCATCAGCATTATTTGGAAATTCTGGATTCTGCCCAAATCTACAAAATCTCTTATGACCAAAGTCTTGTTGTATGGCCCTAGACTCTGTCAACAAGCATTCTAGGCAATTCTGATGTATTTTCCAGTTTGACATGTGTTGCCCACTGTGATAAACTCTATTTCTCTCAAACTCTAAACTACCTTGTATTTTTTAATGCTTTTCTCATAAATATAAAGGGGAGAAAAATTTTCACTTTTGATTAAAATGTAAAAATATGCAAAGAAACCCCTTAATTCTATCATAACAAGAGTTGAATAAACTAAAAGTTCATAAATTTCTCAGGCCCATCCACTGAAATAACAATGTAAGACAACAAAGAAACTTGAAATTCTGGGCTGTTCCAGTGGTTAGGAGCACTGGCTGCTCTTGCCAAGGACCTGGGTTCAGTTCCCAACACCTACATAGTGACTTACAACTGCTTGTAATTCCAGTTGAAGGAGGTCTGATACCTTCTTCTGGACACTACAGTCATGTAGTACATTTAATTGTCTACACAATAAAGTGTAGACGAAACATTTATACACAAATATAATCTCAAAAAAAAAAGGGGGGGGAGAGGAAGAATAAAAAAAAAGGTCCAATCAAAAGGGGACAAGATTCTTCAAGGGAGGATGGGACACTTTGTCACAGTGTGTAGGTAACAAGCAGGCAGCTAAAACAGTAAGGTGCTGCCACAGTCAGTGTAAGCTTGTGTTTAATCTGTAATAGCCACAAGGCCCAGGAACAGAGTGGTTCCCACTGGCAATTTCTCCCCAACAGATAGGCTGACAAAAAGGCTGAGTCAGCAAAAGGTCAAGACCCTGGTAGGTCATGCACGCAGGCAGGGTGACTGGCACCAAACTGAGGAGCACAGGAGCCCAGCTCTGATGCAGAACTCTCCTGCCTCTGGACTATAAGGTTGGGATGGCAGGCTCCTGTGGGCAGAGCCTCTGGACTATAAGGTTGGGGTAGCAGACTCCTGTGGGCAGAGCCTCTAGAGTATAAGGCTGGGGTGGCAGGCTCCTGTGGGCACAGCCTCTGGGGTATAAGATCGGGTGGCAGGCTCCTGTGGGCACAGAGCTGTTGAAAAGGAAAGCCAACCTCTGAAGCCACAGCAGATCCCCTCCGTTCCCCAGCCCAGGAGTGCAACAAGTCTGAGCTCAGAACCCTACAGTAATCCAGAATAGGTCGGTCTCCTTCATTGTGTCATACACCACATACTAGCCTGGGGTACATCACACTCTTCTTAAACAAAACATCAGAATGTGTACCACATAGATTTTCCAAATCCAAATATTTTCCAAATATTTTCTAAATATTGGGAACTTATTCCTAATATGCTTGTATTACTTGGACAAGAAAGTGTCATTAGAGTTTATGTGAAGTGGCATAAATTACTTACTTTAATAGCTATGTTAGCAGAAACTTCCTGAATATTAGCAAGTGATGGGTAAAGCCTCCCTTGAGCTAACTCTTCATCTGTCAACTGAGTTGTCAGCGCCTGAAAGGAGAAACAGCATCATATTTTTGTGTAAACAGAAGAATCTAGTAAAATGGAAAAGGCGTTGAAGAAACAGAAAATTAAAGACAACAGAATTTTTTATGTCTTATAGGACTCCACTAAACCAATGTAGAAATTAAAACTGCTCATCACAGCTGGGCATGGTGGCACACACCTTTAATTTCAGCACCCAGAGGCAAAACAGGTGACCTGTGAGTTTGAGGCCAGCCTTGTCTACATTGAGAGTTCTAGGCTAGCCAGCACTTCAGTGAGAGCCTTTCTCAGAAAACAAAACTAGAAGGTCCCACCAAACACACCAGAACCAAAACAACACAACTCCCCATTAAACAATAAACAACCAGATCTAAAGAGCTGGTGCTGTGTCCTGCTTCACACATGGACAGCTGGGGATAACAGCAGCTAAGAAGAAAATAGACATTATCACTAGTCCTCACGTGAGCTCCTCAGAATCCCTTTGGAAAGGTGCAGTGCTCCATTAAGAGGGAAGGGTTATATTTTATCTATGTTTTAATAATCTATGCTGTCTGCACCACCTTCATATGACAGGTCACATGACACACAGGTAGCGTGGGACCATGAGATACAGGTACAGCATGCTATAAAAACACACTGATTTGCAGCTTCTACGGTCATTTGAAAAGCTTTGATTTTTAAAAATTCACATGAAGCAGAAGGAGACAAATAAAAAGTCATGGATTGCTAACTTCCTTTGCATCCATAATGTGGATTCAACTCTTGTTTTAAGATCTCTTCACCTCTACAATCTATGCTTTATATAAAATCAGCAGTATTTAGAACATTACCTTTGCAGCTTCTAAGAAAACAGTGTCACTGATGTGTCGGGCTTGACAGAGAATAACAGCTAAAGCCACACCTAGAATACATGTTACACAGTTCACTTAGTAAGGTCACTTTTCAAATTATGAACGGCTAAGTTCCTAAACTGAGAAAAAAATAAACGGCAATAAGCTCCCAATGCAACTGCCCAAGAGAAAGCAAGACTGAATTAAATGGGCTTTGTCAATGCCTACATTCTCATCACTAACAAAATCAGTTTAGAAGTAGAGCTGTGTAGTTTGTTTTTTTTAAATAATTATCAACATAGCAAATATTTATTGGTTTCTGTTAGGGCCTACTTTAGTCTACAGTGCCTGAACGAGAACAAGACAGACAGACAGACAGACAGACAGACAGACAGACACACACACACACACAGAGAAAGAGAGAGAGAGAGAGAGAGAGAGAGAGAGAGAGAGAGAGAGAGAGAAGTATGAACATACAAATCCAAAAGAAACATCCATCAGCCAAGCAGAAACACACTCACTAACCTTTAAGAAAACAACCAACCAACCAGCCTCAGTCCACCTCAACCCTGATTTGAACGGCGGCAGCTACTGCCCGCTCCTTCAGCTCATTATTTCACTGTTTCTGAGTCTTTAATAACTTGCTTTAATTTCTTTAGATTTTTGAGCTTTAAAGACTTTCAGTCTTCCCTGGTTGAATACAAGCATCCTGCCCTCTTGCTATTTCTCGCCTTCTCTCTCTTCCCTACATGTGCAGAAACATCACTGGGGTCCATCTACAGTCACCGTTTACATTAGGACTTTGTAGGCACTACTTAATCCAGGCAGAGTTAACGCTATACTGGGACTATTTCTGCTTTGCATAAATGTTCTCTTCCCCAGAGCTCATGTTCTGTTCCCCCCTTAATTGTTACTTAGTAATTAACGTCATTTCATCCTGAAGCCCTCCTTAGTTGTTCTGTTTCCCCCTTAACTGTTATTTAGTAATTAATGTCACTTCATCCTGGAGCCCTTCCTTAGTTCCCAATCCTCCGTTTGCATCCTGTGGAGCTCCTGGCACAGACCTCTGCAGCACTCTTACTGCCCAGCTGACTCTTCTCCCTGTCAGTCAGGGACATGGTTCTTTGACTCCAATTACTAACACTCCTTTACCCTCTCCTTTTAGCAGGACATTTTCCTGCAGTTGTTCTGAGAAACAACTGAGAGGAATAAAATTTTTTTTTGAAAATCTGCATTTCTGAAAATGTACATGTTTACCTCTTTCTGCTCCTCTGGGCTTAGGATTTTAGTTCGTAAATATGTGTCCTACAGAGCCCTGTATCCCCTAGCTTCCGGCCTTGGCCCCGGGTATGCCTGGTATCCGGTCCTGTTTAAGCAACTGTCTTTTTATCACTGGAAGCATGGAGCTCTTTGACTCTCATTTTGTAAACCTGTGTCTTGGGGTACATTTCTAAACCACTGTGTCTGACACTCAGAGGTGAGCCCTTCCTCTGAGCAATGCTTGTGCAGTCTTTGATATCCTTCCATTTTTTCTTTCTTTCCTTCTGTCCTCAAATTTCTATTTTTTGACCTTGTAATTGTGGAGTGGACATGTGACTTTATTCTCTGTTATCTACCTCCAGTCCTGACTGTTAAGTGGCTTCCTCATTTCTTTCTTATAATCTTTCTGCTATCAACTTTTATTTCAAGAATTTGCTGTTTCTAACCTGAAATCCTCTCATTTTGAAATACAGTATCTCTAAGAATATTTATAGTTCCTTCAAACCTTTCCTGCAGGCTTGTTTTCTCCAAGAACCCCCTTTTTGTTTAAACACTGCTTTATCTGTTATGATATCAACTTTCAAAAATGTTTGTACAACTTTTGCTAGACAAAAACTCTAAGAGCAGCCAGTGCTCTTACCTGCTGAGCCATCTCTCCAGCATCTCCCGAGGTTTCTTTATTCTAACACCTCTTCCTCCCCTTCTCTCTGTTGGTGGTCCATGTCACTTTAATGAAGACACTTAAGTCTACTGTTTTGACTGATAGTTGTCTTGCTCAGTATATGGTTCCTTTTTTTCTTTTATTTTTCAATTGTTGCATTTTATCCCCCAATGTTCCCTGACTGGAAATTAGAAGGTTTTGTGGTGTTCTAATGATTATCCTCAAGTTTACAGCATGTATTCCCATCAAAAAAAATTCCATTAGCTTAAAATGTATCTTCCTGCCAGTATGAACCCCTCATAACACGTCAGGTCTATTTGACAGAAAGAGCATTGCTGTGCATGCTGTCTCAGCACATCTGCTGAAATGCACATGACTGTTTGGTGTCTGTAAACCCTTGCTCTGTGCGATCTGCATGTTCAGGCACTTGCCCTGTCTTCCCTGCACCTTTACAAGATGCTTTTGTCTATCCTTCCCTCACACCTGAGCTTCTGGGACTGTTTCCACTGGCTTGAGGAACAACACTTCCCTCCTTTCATTTCACACAAGTATGCAGTTCTCTGTTTTGCCCTAGCTCTGTGGACTGTGGATTGAACTCTAGGCTGGCAAGTTACTTCCTACAAACAACACAAACACATCACTCCTCTCCCTCTTGGCCCTCAGCGGTGCTGAGGAATCAAATGTTGCTCCTACACTTGGACCACCCACCGTCATGATTTCTCCTTGGGACTCTCTGAAGCCTCACAGTGAGGGTCTGAGGTCTGGACTTCTGGTCTACCCTCCAGAGGTTTTCCTGAGGTACACTGGAAGGCATTCTTAGCCATGCAGCGTATGATGCAGCCTCTCCTTCATTTCCACACTCACTGTCTTCCAGGACTTTACTAGCAATTACAAGTCTCTGTCTTACTTGCTCTTCTGTATTTTCCCGTTCAGGTCTTCATTTCCAGTTTCTTCTGTGCTGCCCTACAGTTACTTGCTTTGGTCTAACCTTCATTCACCCATTGGATTATTATTAGGACTCAATTCCAGAAGTCAGTGATTTTAGCTAACGTTTTCAAGCTTGGCTTTCACTGTTGTAATGATAATCATGTTTGTGTTACAACACTTGTCATCCACGTAGACCTGAACCTGTCTTCTTGATGGCGGTGTCTGATGGACTTGGGTTGCCAGATCTCTGCACAGGTCTCCTTTTACCCTCTAAACAAGAGTGGCATTTGTACATTTCTCTAGAAAAACAACTTGAGGACTGGTGCTATGTTTTCAAAGACTTCTATTTGGTTCCACCAGGCACTGGCATCCAGAGCAAAGGCTGGAGTTTTCTAGACCAGCCATAGCTATAGACCAGTCTATTCCCAGATGCAGTCCTGTAGGGTTTCAGCCCGGAATGGGTAGTCACTCATAAGAGGAGGAGTCACACCTGGACAAATGTCAATACTATCTTTCCTCTAGGGTAAATACAACTCGTTGTTTATTTCCTGATCAGTGTGTGACTCTCGTGCTAAGGCGACTACAAACTCTAGCCTTCTCAGCATGCTCTCGAACTCTGCTCTTTAATCTTGATCAGAGTCACACATCTTATCAACCCATACATTACTGGCTGCTGATCTTTGAAGGTGAAGGCTGTCTGTTCATTGTTTTCTGACTCTCTTTTAAAGACTTACTTATTTTTATTTTATGTGCATGAGTATTTTGCCTGCATCTATGGATGTATGTATACCATGTATGTACACTCCAAGACCAGAAGAGGGCACTGGATCCCCTGGAACTAGAGTTATACATGTTGTGTGCTGTCATGTAGGTACTGGAAACTGGACCTGAGCCTTGTACAAATGAAATAAGCACCTTCTCCAGCCCCTCTTTTCTTAATATGTATGATGGCTTTGAACTCACACTCCTCCTGCCCAGCCTCCCAAGTGCTGAAATTATAGGCTTAGACCACTATACTCAGCCTTGAGTTTTAAATATTTATCCAGTTGTTAGAGTGGTAGGACTGGCAATTCGGAAAATACCACAGTCTTAAGTTTTAGATTTCTTTTTATAAGACTTTCAGACAATCTCCCATTGGTGGGTCTGCCTTTACTTCCATCTTGTCTATTCACAGGGCTAATAGCTTTTACTCATAAAGCCAGGACTTTTAAAATGCTACATATAAAAATAATCAACTGCCAAATTTCTTAAGGGTCAAATATGAGGGTTGGAGAGATGAACTGTGCTCAAGATCCCGGGCTGCTCTGCAAGGACCTGGGTTCAATTTCCAGCACCCACTCAGGATCTGTGACATGTTCTTCTGACCTCCAAAAGCACCAGGTATATATATACATGCACACGTATACATGCAGGCAAAATACTCATACAATAATAAACTAAATACATTTTTTAAAAAAGTCAACTCTGAACTTAAAAATGGTTTTGTCAAAATCAGCAAGTATTCTCTTTTTTGCTCTCAAAACTTTATGCTGTAAAAACACTACTGTATAGAGTAGGATGATTTAAAACCCAAATGCCACAAAAAAATCACTGATGGCAGAAGAGTCTTTATAGATGCTCAGTCTCAAGAGACAACCGAAGTAACATGAAGAGAAGGAGGGGCACTCGATGGTCACAGGTAAAATAAACACCTTGTTTACTTCAACAGTGTAATCATGTACTTGCCTGTGCCCTGCACTACTTATGACTTATGGAGAGCCTGCTGCCAGATCGTCAGAGAAGACCCATCAAAGGAAAGGAGACACATGTGGCAAAGGAATTCACACCAGATCCCCATTTTGTTCAGTACAGTCTTTCTAAATGGGCCAGGATGGAGCTCAGTGGTAGAGCACTAGCCTAGCATGCATGAGGTTCTGGGTTCAATCCTCAGCATCACAAAAAGTAAACAAATGTAAAAGGCTATGGAGGATCAACACAGAGTTATGGAACAGACACAAAGGAAGAAGTATTCTCAATGACAGAGGAAAAGAATCTTTAGCTTTAAAAATAAAAAAGATATGAAAAGGTAATTCTAGAACATGGTACTAGAAAGACTTAAAATTGCACAAACTGATAAACACACTGCTAAGTAGTTACAGGCTTCTCTTCCATTCTGATGCCAGGGCAGTATCACGATGAAAAAGACTGAGGTGCCTATTTCCATTCACTGTCTTGATGGCATACTCACCTTCTGGATATACACTGAAGTTATAATGAATGAACTGTATGATGTCTTTAAAAAACTTGGGACATGCAGTAAAAGTACTAAAAGTGAAGTAAAAGACCAGACTGAGGCTTAGTGAGGAGGTACCCCAGAGGTTTCGCTATTACAAGATATAAAAAGGAGGTAAAAGTGAGACCACAGGTCAGGGACAATAAGAGATTCAACTACGAGCAAGCATAAGCTTCATACAGAAGAAGATTAGGAAGGGAAATGAGAGATGAGAATAAGTAAAAGTCCATCACCCACATATGTGCATGACAAATGGAAATAGTGCCACCCCAGACACAGCCCCTCAACCACCACCCATTGGAAAGGAAAACTGCAAAGACTGTGAGAAAGAAAAACTTATTATGGAAGCCAGTCCTGATTTCAGATTTAAAATCAGCACCATGGGCCTAACAAAAGCGACTTTACAAATCTCAGCCAAACGATCCAGTGAAAGAACAAACAAAGATCCTTGAGGTCTGCAAACCTACCACGTGTTCACAGGCGTCGTTTTTCTGGACAGGAGGTCTTGCTATGCAATCCTGCCTGACCTGCACTTGCTAAGTGGCCCAGACAGGCCTCAAACTCATGGTAATTCTCTTGCCTCAGCCTCCAAGTACTAGGATTGGGCCTGCATGACTACACATGATTTCACATGTTCTTTAGAATTTATTTTAAACCTTATTCAAAGATATATTCTAGAAACACGGGATAGAGGGTGAACACTTGTGCAGATGGTGAGCTCTGAGACGCTTTACTACAGAGATCAAGAAGTGAGGACAGGAAACTGAAGGGGGCACCATATTGATTCTTGTAGACAAAGGCAACAATAGTGAATGCTGTACTTTCCAAGTGATAATCTACTTGGTGAATACTAATTATGTAATCAAGACTTTTATAATCACAGTTTTGAATACTCAATCAATCTAGACAGAGCACAGAAATTGATAGATCACTAAACACTTGCTGAAGAACTCCACAGTGTAGAGACAGCGACTGAGCTTCCCCAGAGTGGGACAAGATCAAAGCTAAACAACAACACAGTTTCCTTCTTCATTTGGCAAGCTGATGAGAACAGTTCAACTCAGTAACAAAGAGACAACTCAGTGGTCCAGACAGCTTGTTGTACAACCATGAGGACCCAAGTCTAGATCCCAGGACTCACATAAAAAGCCAGGCATGGTCTTGTGTGCGCTTGTAACCACAGCACTGATTTGTAGGCATGGAGACAAAATTGCTGGGGTTTACTGGCTGCCATACTGGCTGAAAGAATATGAGGTTCAGAAAGAGACCACACCTCAAGGGATAAGGCAGAGAGCAGGAAAGGACACAGATATCCTCCTGAGCCTCTATGTGTGCACACATTCATACACACATGTGCACACACCACACAGACATCCTCCTCTGCCTCTATGTGTGCACACATTCATACACACATGTGCACACACCACACAGATGTCCTCCTCTGCCTCTGAGTGCACACATTCATACGCACAGGCACGCACACACACCAAATACAAAAACATAAACTTCTAACAAAACCCTTTGTTGTATACGGTAAAGCTAATGACTTCGGAGAACAAGGCAGACACACAGGGCAGTTGAAAATCAGAAGGAATGTGTGCAGTATGGCTGATGGCTCACACTGGGAAAGTCACACCTACAGACAATTTAGAAGATCCATGATAAAGGGATACACCTGTTGACTGTATGTTAAAGAAAAAGGGCAAATACCTGACAACAGTTATATCCTAGAGTGTGATGAAAAGGTATCACAGAGCTGAATATCACAGCCTTCTGCCCCTCTGTACGTTTATGAAATACGCACTCTATTATCTCTATAATAAAGCCTAACAATATGATGACATTTTCAAAGAAAACAGGTTAGAATTCCTGAATTCCTTGTTTCCCTATCCATTATGTCAATCTTCAATTCTAAAGAATTCCATGAATATCTTTTTTTATTTTATGTTAACTGGATACTTGGCCTGGGTGTATGTCTCTGCAGCACTTTTATGCAGTGCAGACAAAAGTCAGACAAAGCCATCAGCTTCCCTGGAAAAGCCTGCTGGTGCTCTTAGTCAGTCCTCTGAAATATGTTTATACAATTAACAATGGATCTATAACATCTGTAATGGTGGGATTTACCTGGGAAAATATAGGCATTGTTTCCTTGGCCTGGGGTGAAGACTCGTCCATCCTGGAGTTTCACTGGCTCAAAAGGGCTGCCACTGGCAAACAAACACCTGCCCTGTTAATGACATAAAATAAAGTCTCAAGTCTTCTGGCCACTTATTCAGGAAAATTCATAAAAGGCTTACAGTTACCTTAGACAATGAAATTACCTAGAAACAAGAAATCATTTACTACATAACAATCCTGTAAATTCTTTTATTGAAATGAGGCTCTCTTTAAACCCTAACATGTCTATTCCCTTTATAAAAGTAAAGCTGATAATAAGTAGCATCTCAAATAATAAAGACTCATCAGCAACGTGAACCTCATAAGTGAGGTGAAAAATAGTCAAATTACTTTGCTACCATTTATGGAACATCTGTTCAGCTAGCTCTGTGTTGGGTGCTTTCTGTGTGGTGTTCAGTTCATTACCTTTCCTGAAAATCTTGTTTGATTGTTACTACCTTCTGTTCATCGTTTTTTTTTTTTTTTTTTTTTTTTTTAAATCAAACCCACAAGTGAAGCAGAAACTGGGGACTTGATGTTTCCAAGTAGTTTGTAAACACTGTGCATCAAGTCTGTAGCAGTTAAATTTGAATCCAAATTTTTATAAATCTAAACCCAACAGTTTTTCTATTATGCCATGGTCTCTCTCCACAGTTTATTACATGGGCGTATGATATAATTACACTACTGTTACAGAACAAACTTGCCATGCTGCCTTGTTAAGGAAAGTAAGTCTCCCACATGGTTTTCTTTATGCAATTAAATGTACACACATATATGTGTGATGCCAGCGGAGCCATCTGTATTTCCAGGATAAATCGATGCTCTTGTGATTGAATGGAACTATAAGTTTTAATTCATAAAAACTGTTTATATTATTATTCCCTTTGCCTCACCAAAAGCAAAAAGCAAAACAAACCAATAGCACTCAAAACAGGGCAACTTACAGGGTGCGGGGAAGAGGAACCTCCGGAAAGTTCCAGAGACTTGGAATGTGAGAGGCTCCCAGGATTCCATGTGAATGACCTTAGCCCGAATGTCCAACAGTAGGAGACAGAACCTGAAGAGACCAGCTCCAGTAGATAGACATGGCCCCCAATTGAGGCAGGGGCTACCCACCCATCTTCAAATTTCTGACCCAGAATTGTTACTGTCTAAAGGAAATGCAGGGACAAAAATGGAACAGAGACAAAAGGAAGGGCCAGCCTGACTTGGGATCCATCCCATACACAGGCACCAAACTCTGACACTATTACTGATACCATGGGCTTGCAGATGGGGAGCTACCATAGCTGTCCTCTGAGTTGGTCTACCAGCAGCTGACTGAGAAACATGCAGATACTTACAGCCAAGCACTGGATGGAGGTTGGAGACCCCTATGGAAGAGTTAGGGGAAGGACTGAAGGAGCTGAAGAGATTGCAACCCCATAGGAAGATCAACAGTGCCAACTAACCAGGATCCCTCAGAGTTCACAGAGACTAAGCCACCAACCAAGGAGCAGGCATGGGCTGGTCCTTGGCCCCAGGCATATGTGTTGCAGAGGACTGCCATGTCTGGCCTCAGTGGGAGAGATGAGCTTAATCCTGTGGAAACTTGATGCCCTAGGGAAGGGGGATGCTGGTGGGGTGAGGTGGGGGTGGGTGGGTAGGGGAGCACTCTCTCAGAGGTGGCAAGGAGGGGAGTGGGGTAAAGAGCTAGGGGAGGGGGGACCAGGAAGGAGGCAACATTTGGAATGTAAATAAATAAAATAATTTAATTAAAAAATGAGGCAACTTAGAATGTTTAAAAACAGCTAATGTTAAGTAACATTTAAACACCCAATTAAATTAGGTTAAAAAGTGATTTGCAGAAAACTGATATATCTCAATACACATGGACAGACATAATGCCACTACTCTAGAACATTTAACAGTTTGCCTCCAGCTCTGGAGTATTAAGATTATAGGTATGTATCACACACCAGGCTTGGGATCTAACAAGGCTTTGTGCATGTCAAGTAAGCATTCTACCAACTGAGCTATGTTCCTAAGCCCTAAGACTTCATAGTAAAGGCCAAGGAATCTAAAGCACTGTGCTACATTGTGTTACTTTAGTGACACAATTTCACAACAGTATGAATTCAAAATTTAACTTCAAAGTGGTACAAAGTATAAGTGTGGGGGCGAGCTAACTATGCTAACGGCTCCGGTGAGCATCTTGGACATTTAATTCCATATGCCAAGTACTTTCCATTTACTCTACAGTTATTAGCTGCCCCCCCACCACCACCAGATCTCCTGACAGTAGCAATCCCATTCTGCAGTCCAGTTTTAAATGATTATTAAAACATGAAGACATTATCCCAACAGTCTCCTCCTGCAGATGTTCAGGAGGCTGAGGCAAAAGATAACAGGGTTTAAGGGCAACCTGCAGTGCACTAAAAACTTAAAAGGCAAAGACAAAACTTAACATCATTGTTTTGTGTGACAGGCAGAAAGAATTTATAAGCTATGATTCAATGGCTCCATGCTATTTTATTCAGGTAAGACTTCAAAGTTACAAAACTGTGAAGAGATGCACATCTTAAGTTTTTTCACACATGTGCTTGTTTACACATTAAGGTAAAATGGGTGACCTACGGTCGTTTGTTCTTTCCTTCCATGTGGAACATGGAGGCTGAACTCAAAACCCTGGTCTTGGTGGTAAGTACCTTTACCTGCTGAGCCATACCCCTAGCCTAAAATCTGCACTTAAAAGTGATTGATTACAGTTTATCAAACTATTCTCCTTGGAAAATTTTGTTCCTTTCAAAGATGTCTGTTTAGTTCAATAGTATTATTTAGTTCAATAATATTCAGAAATAAAGTTCTCAAAAATCTGAGCAGCATTAATTTACTACTTTATAAAACATTATATATATATATATATATATATATATATATATATATGTGTGTGTGTGTGTGTGTGTGTGTGCATGTGTGTGTGTGTGTATGTCTACGCACATGCAAATGTGTATGTGTAGTTATATATAATTTTATTTGAAAATGTCAGAGCTCGTGATATATTGGATCTGAGCCTTATATTCATTGTGTAAGAGAAAGGCGTAATTTGGAGAACAACAGTCATCAACATTTTACCCATATAAACTAGGTAAATAAACCCAGTAAACTGGTAGACTGGTTAAGCAATGAAGCTAATGATAATAATAATGGTAAAAGCTTAATTTTAAAGAACAGTGAAAACTTTCTGTGTGCCTGTTTTGCTGCATGCATGTCTGAGCCATGTGCTGCCTGGTGCCTGTAAAGTGGAGAAAAGAAGAGAAGATTTTAAAAAAACGCTTTGTGTTGATTGTGACTGACTTAGAAAGAAAGGATTTCAATCAGTATGACAGGTTTAAAATCATTACCTCTAATAGATATTCACAAGAATTTACTTTTTCTAACAGAGTAGCAACAAAAAAGCAGAAGGAGCTGACCAATAAGCACTCTGTAACAATGAGAAAAGGAACCAAATCCAAAACCTTCCCTAAGCTCTGCCTGCCCAGTGACATTCTGGGCTGTACCCCACTCACGTCCCCTCTGGTGACAGTAAGGAGTAAGGACTAAGCAATGTTTCTTAAGAGTTTTACAAGAAGCAAGGTGTCACACAGCAATGGTATTTAGGACTGGGAGATAAGAGGAAGAAGGCTCCAAAGACCCACACGTGACCCCAGCAGCAAAGGTGTGGCTGAGATCTCCAGCACCAGAGCTCTGGGGAGTCTCAGGCCAACACAGCAAAACTGAAGTTCAGGGAGCACGAGCCATAAAGGTTGCTAAAAAATACCTAAGGGCAGGTTTATACTCAGAGAGCTGCCCAGATGCAGGGGATGAGCACAGGATGGAACTCTAGACCACACCTGGCTGAGCCAACTGAGTTATGACTGTGAAACCCAGCCTGACAGCCACTGGAGGAGAAGGAAAGGCCCCAAGTATGATGCATTCACCCCAGGCCTCAAGTAACCTGCCATCCACACCACCAAGCACTCAAGACACACAAACCAGCAAACAACTACGCTTACAAGAGAATTAAAAACTAATCACTAAGGCGGGAGGAAAGGAAGTAATAAAGATGGATTTACAGAAAGTGAGTTTGTTACGATCAGAAACTTTAACTAGAATTCACATATTCAAGAAATTAAATAAAAAAAACAAAACAAAACAAAAAATGTCAATAGTTAGATGTGGTGGCGGCTGCAGTCCTGAAATCCCAGCATCTGAGAAGCTGGAGCAGGAGGATACTACAGTTCAAGCCTGGGCTACATACACAGCAGGACTTTGTTTTCAAAACAAACAACAAATCCACAAAGGGAAAAGGATATTCAGAAGAAAACTGAAAGCTAGGGCAGAGGGTAAACTAAGTATTAAACATTACAAGTGGAGGGGCAGTGAGTGAGCTTGACAGTCACTGTGCCTGCTGTCTAGCTGCATAACCTGAGTTTGATAAAAAGTGGCTGCCCCAAGTGGTCCTCTGACCAACAGATACATGATATGCTGTGTGGCATGAGTGCCCACACCCAAATGCACAGAATAAATAAAAATGTACTTAAATTTAAATATAGTCCAGTACTATTTATAGTTATACATTTTAATCACGCATTTGTTTACTGGAGGGGATGTACAAGCTCCTGCAGGCACACAGGTAACACTGAGGATGACTCATGGGTGTCAGCTCTCTCCTTCCACTACACAGAAGCTGAGCACGGCTGTCAGGGCCAGTGGCAGAAGCCTTTACCTGCTGAGCCATCTTTACTAGCACCTGTATATTATTTAAGACTCAACTTCTGAGAGATATGTCTACAATGGATAGATATGTAAGATCTTTAAAATTATCCGAGGAGATATGAAGGAAACAAGATTACTGGTGACTTATTGGTAGTGAAAATATTAAAGACTTACTACATTCTTTATTCTTGAGAGCGTAACCCAAAAATTATATTCATGAATATTCACATATTCAAGAAGTTAAATGAGAATTTGATATATCATGATAAATAGAACTGTAAAATTCACTTCCTAGGGCCTAGGAATATAGCTTAGTGGTAGCTTGCCTGCCTAAACATATATATCTGCAAGGCTGCAGGTTCATTACACAGAACAAAAACCAAAAGCTCCCAATTCCTGAAGTCACTCTGATGACCTACAAGAATGCAAGAAGTGATTCTGCAGTGGACAGTAGTGGCTAAGACACCATCCCACAGAGCAGTAGGGAACCCCACTCACTACCTAACAGCACAGAAGCTAGTGTCTGTAGCTGAATGCTCTACAACAGGGTCAAAGGCCCTAAAGCACTCACTTGCTACCAGTCTGTGTGAAAGTAAAAAATCCATTCCAGACAGCCACTGGTTTAAAAACAAAATAAAAGCCAGCTCTAGCAAAGGCAAAAGACGATGGTGAAGGAATGGTGAAGGGATCTGAGGCAAGTAAAAGAATTGTTTATAAAATAAGGACAAAAAAGCAGAGTTTCTGATTATTTTTGAATTTTTACGACTAAAAAATATATAAGAACTAAAACCAAGAACCCAAGGACAGATGAACAGAGTAGGAAAGTGACTGCCAAGGGGAAGGACTGAGAATGTCAGACGGAAGCAGAGCTAAGCGGACAGCACACACAAAAACACAAATACTCCACACTGGCAATCAAGTCTCACATGAGAAAACATGGCCAAAGCAGAGACACCAGCCCTGTTTCCAAAACCAAACCAAACCTCAGCAATCAGTCATCAACTATAGACTCAGGAGGACTCTAATCTCCAGGGAGAACTAATAAACCATACATGGGTCTAAACCCAAAGGAATGAAATCAAGACACAATCCAGAAAACAACAAACTATCTTTAAAGTACTGAAATACAGCAACTCCCAGTTGTTAATTCCAAGTGGGGTGAAAATGTCCTTCAAAATGAAGGCAAAATGTACTATCAAGAGAATTCTTCAGACCCATAGTTAAGGAGGTCTTCTGGGAGGAGGAAAACTACCCCAGACAGACACAGCCAGGCAGGGATGGCCACAGAAAAACAAAGAAGCAAGCAAGCAAACAAAACATAAATGCAGGCAAATCTAAATAGATACTTTCTATATAAAAAGAGTTAAGAAAAAAAGAAGCATAGGTGGTTTCAAAACACACAGAAAAGCATCAGGGGCTTAGCAGAGCTGGGCGAACTAGTGAGCAGTAGTCGGTGTTCAGTGACTGCTCTCAGGACTGACATGCTGATTTCAGACTTGGTGACCCACTGCCATCTCTACTCAAATAGTAATGAATGAGTGTGCAAGAACATGCAACTAACAAGCCAATAAGACAGAACCAACTTGCGTGATTCTCGCTGACCATACCTCTGTAAGTGTGTATGCGTCTTCGGCTGTGCACTCGGCCTGCGCTGTAGGATTACTTAAAGCAAATATCACAGGCCTCTCATTGATAGAGGCCATGGCTCTGATTACGCCAGGAGTAAAAAGCGGGCCAGCACCTGCCACTCCTGCAATAAATAAAGGAAGAAAACAACTTCAGCACAGATATAACAAACTGGTTCTTACTAACAGTGTTTCTACAAAACATTTACCATAAGGAAACCACAGGTGTCATTACACAGATAGATTTTTGTTTTGCTGAGACAATACTATGTGGGCACAGCTTCAGATATGAAAAGGAAAACAATGAAATGCTGAAATTTTTCACTTATATGTTTATTGTCTAGTAAATTTTAGGAAAACCTGTCCAACATGTGACTATCACCATCACTGTAGCCAGTGACAAGGTTCACAGTGTTGTGTGAGCGTCCACTCATCTGAGGGACCAGAAACAGACCCTCAGAGAGACAGACTGCAGCAACCAGGGCCTGGGGGAATGCCACGGTATTCTATGTTTGGGCTTCATCTGGTAATGGACATTCTTTATATATATATAGTAAACATCCTGACCACAGTTGGCAATTCCTAAGTGGTATTCTTAATTCTTAAGTGGTCAGAAGACTGTCCTGACTAAACCAATCAACTTTTGATGTAGCTGATTTACCTTTATTAAGTTCTTACCATGTCCCAGACACTAAATTAGACCACTAGGTACAAAAATAAACATAAGAGCTGAGTGTGGTGGCACGCCTTTAACTGCAGCTCTCGGGAGGCAGAGGTAGGCAAATCTCTATGAGTTTGAGGCCAGCATGGTCTACATAGTGAGACCTCATAAAAAACAAACAAGGAAACACAAATAAAACAAAAACTGTATGTAGGGACTGGGGATTTAGCTAAGTGGCAGATCATTGCCAAGCAAACACAAAACCCTTACTGGTCTCTAGCAGTAAGTAAAAAGAACGTAATACAGCCAGATTATAGTTGACGAAAGAATAAACTGGAATTTTTTCTTCAGCAAGTTGTTAAGACAAATATGTACAGGGTTATGAAGATCTGTGTGAGGGGAGAACACTCAGGCCTTGGTGGACTCTGGAGGCAACTAAAGGAGGCCTCTGCTGAGAGCAGCCCCTCACCTTCTTTCTGTTTCCTTGCTCCCCTGGAGATAGACAAATGAGTGACTACATTCTCAGGTTTTAAGAGAAGACATGTAGAAAACCCTTTAAGATCCTCTTGGTGTGTGTGTGTGTGTGTGAATGAAAAAAACACAGACATATTTTTCTGAGCATAGGATCTCATTGTGAATATTTTATAGTTTAACACTGAACAGAGTTCCTACATGAAAACTACTAAAAGCTCACGATTGTGAACTCACAGCTACAGCTACAGAGAATCAAACAGCCCTGCGTCTGTGCTAAGAACTCAGGGCTGGGTCAGCACAGATGTTGGCAACAAATGCTGACAGCACGAAACACATGGAAAGTTTCCACTTTGAAATTCTCACTCTGCACTGGATTTTCCTGGTATAGTCTGTCAAACGACCTTGGCCTTTGAAAGCTGAGTTTACCACCAGTCACAACAGCTCTGAAAGCAAAACACCATAAAGAGCTGGGCTTGTAGTCCAATCTTGGGAGACGCAGGCAGGACAAACACTGAAGCCCAGATGTTCAAAGCCAGTTTACAGGAGAGTAAAACAGCTTCAGTTTTGTTTTCAGTCTGTTAAGATGTAATTTTTCAGTTACATTCACCTCCTTAGTGTCTGTATGTGTAAGTCTGGGGGCGCCTTGCCACCATGCAGTCCATGTGGAGAGGACAGCTTGTGGGACGTGTTCTGCTCCTGCCATGTGGACCCTAGGGGCTCAGCTCACACCATCAGACTTCCAGCAGCAAGCACCTTTACCTGCTGAGCCATCTCGCTGGCCCCATTTCCAGAATTTTAGACATTTGACTGTGTAACCCAAACTGGCCCTGAATTCATAATCTTGCCTTGGTTTCTACCATGTTGAGATTACAAGTGTGCACCACATGCCCAGCATGGAATTCTGTCCCTTAAAACCTTTATGCAGAGAAACCAAATATTTTAATTTGAGTCAGCCCTCTTTATCTGTGAGGTTCTGTACACAGATTCAATACATGTACATTTTCAATACAAGACAACAATGCAGAAGGAGACAAATCTGTGTATGTCCTAAGCATGTGCAGATCTTTTTGTATCATTCCCTAATAATACAGCTGAAGAACCACTTACATAGCAAAAGTCAATAGAGGTGCACTCAAGTACACAGCAGGATGTGCACAGGTTATGCACAAGTCCTACACCTCTTAGCATAGGAGATTTAGGTGCAGCAGGTTTGGGTGTGTGCAGTGGGCTTTTGCACCAGTCCCCTAAAACACCGAGAGATGACCTGCATATGCTGAAGGCGAGGTAAAACACAGCAACTTACTTTAGTAATCCTATGTGCGAGTTATGACTGACAGTTAAATAACAAGATTGTGTATAAATAACTTCACTTACCAATTATAACTGAAGGCTTAAGTTTATTTACTGCATCTTCAAAAGTTGCAGGTATGTTCTCTGGGACCACATGAGCATATGGTTCCTGGTTACTATCTATGCTAGCAGTCCGCCCCTGAATGTTTTGATAAAGTACAGTGTCAGTAAGTGCATATTAAAGATAAATTAAGCATATGAATTGTCAATTATATATATTTCATCTGTCCTTGTAACACAAATGTCTTTTGATTTACTTTTTTCTTCAATCTCTATCTGCCAATTCTAACTTTACAGAATCCAAACAGTTCATCGAATCAATTATGTCCAGAAACATTGCCATGTCTTTCAAAAACTCATTCCTTCTATGACATCCTCCCAAATTTCATATTTACTATTAAGAATCTTTAGTATTTTAGAAATGTAATATAGCAATATAGCAAATATTATAACTTTGCCCACCATATGTGAAGACCACAGCCTAACAAACTTATGAACAGCCACATCAAAATGTTGTTTTGGTACTAGGAATAGAACCCCAGGCCTGAACATACTAGTCAAATGCTTTACTGTTAAGGCAAATTCCCCAACTCCCCTTCCCCTTTAAGAGATGGTCTTAGGGGACCTAGCCTCAGCTGGTCTAAAACTCACCCCATAGTTAAAGCCCTGCTCAGCCTCTCCATCTCTAATTAAAAGAGGTTAAGGCTATCAGAATACTGGCTTCTTACACTGTCTTGGCATTGTCACAGCTCTGTAGAGTGGGAATTTAGTGGGGACATTAAGTGTCTTCAAAAGGACAACAGGTTTAGGATCACTAGAAGACAGTGGAAGCCCAGGACCCACAGGCCTAGCTACCAACATTCTAAAGAACAAATCAAAGACACGCTTTCAGGTTGGAGGTGAACAGGGATTCTTGGCTGTGGAGGAAACTGCTACAGCTGCACCAAGGCTGCAGTCATTTTAGACCCTCGACGAAAGCCAGTGCTACAAGGTGAAGGTCACAGCTGAATGCCAGCAGAGACGTATTCCCCTCTAGGTAAGAACGTGATATTTACCACCCTTCTTCTCTTCTACACATGCTAGCAGACTTCAGCCACAGCAGCGTGGGGAGAGCTTCATGATTCAGAGCCTGGGCTTTATACTCAGGCAACATGCTTAGGTTTAGATTATGCCACCATTTCTTCGAAACTGATAATTTTATTTAATTTTTTTTAATTTTTTTTTAAGAGGCAGAACAGGTGTCTTTTCTTTTTAAGATTTATTTATTTATTTTATATATGAGTACACTGTCACTGTCTTCGGACACACCAGAATAGGGCATTCAATCTCATTATGGATGGTTGTGAGCCACCATGTGGTTGCTGGGATTTGAACTCAGGACCCCTGGAAGAGGAGTCAGTGCTCTTAACCGCTGAGCCATCTCTCCAGCCCGAAACTGATAACTTTAAAAAGGCAAAACGTCTGCTCATCAACAAAACAAAATGGTCCTCTGCAACAAGTGCTCTTAACTACTGAGCCACCTCTCCAGCCCTATGATCATTTTAAACTTGTTTCTGTGATTATCAAATTTCATAAGAAAAAAAAAAGCTAAAAAAATTTCGTAAGAAAACAAAAACAAAATAAAAACACAATATCTACTCCCACCCCTTGGCCTCCCAGCCTCCCCACCTAAGACATGAGTTCTGACAGGACTAAAGGCAACAGTACACTTATGTTCATGAATGGTTACTGACATGAAGAGCAAACAGCCAGGACGAGAGCCATCTACATGCTCGATACACACACATGTATGTGGAGATAGCATGCACACTGCATGTAAACGGGAAGGAAATGTCTCATCATTAGATTCCTGTGTAGACATGGGAACTGAAACAGCAGTGCATACTGGACATGGTCTCATCATTAGA